TGTGATTCAGCAGTCTTACACAATTCACAGTGCTCACCATAGCCCATACCCTCCCCAGTGTCTATCACCCAGCCACCCCATCCCTCTCACCCCGCACCACTCCAGCAACCCTCAGTTTGTATTTTTTAAACAGTAGTTGTATTAATGAACTAAGGTTTGGTATTGCCCAAACGTAACCTTCCAACTGTTCCTAAAACTAAAATAAATTCAAAATAAGAAAGGAAGTTACTTTATTTCAATGTCAATGGTCTGTTCTACCTGCTTGTCTCTGGTCCTTGCTCTGAATCCTATGGCTTTGCTCCAAATCCAGATTTGCTTTCAAAGAGCTCCCATTGAAAGGATTCATCACTGCTAACTTCTGTTTTTTATTACAAATAACTTGCTTTCCTATAATCTTCCTCTAAGTTGGATCTAAATGCAATCTTTTTTTTTAAAAAAGATTTTATATATTTATTTGTCAGAGAGAGAGAGCACAAGCAGGGGGAGTGGCAGGCAGAGGGAGAAGCAGGCTCTCTCCCCGATGTGGGACTCGATCCTGGAACTCCGGGATCATGGCCTGAGCCGAAGGCAGACGCTTAACCGACTGAGCCACCCAGGTGTCCCTTAAATGCAATCTTAATGACAGATGTAGAAAATTTTTATATTTTATTTAGGATAAAATAACAGCTTAGAGAGGCGCCTGGGTGGCTCAGTCATTAAGTGTCTGCCTTCGGCTCAGGTCATGATCCCAGGATCCTGGGATCGAGCCCCATGGCAGGCCCCCTGCTTAGCGGGAAGCCTGCTTCTCCCTCTCCCACTCCCCCTGCTTGTGTTCCTGCTCTCGCTATCTCTCTCTCTGTCAAATAAATAAATAAAATCTAAAAAAAAATTAACAGCTTAAAGTAGGGTTGATGGGGGCTAGGGGAGGAGGTTGTGGGCAAAAGCTCTACTATCTCACATTAAACATTTCCTTTCCAAAAGAATGGAAAGAATGGGGCTGGTATGGAATATAAGACCCTTGGAAATATTATAATGCAAGAAACTGTTTTGATTTGGGGACCTCTAGACTAAGAGGGGGCTACTTCTGGCCCCCAAGTGTAAATTTGTTCTCTCTACAAACATGTTTTCATTTAAGGTATGCGGTATTCTTCCTTCAGGTCACATATCCTGGTCTAAAATTATGTTTGATTTTGTGCTTTATTTCATGCTAATGTTAATTATTTAATTTAAATTTAATTATTATGTTGCTCGCTAGAGTGGACCTTTAGGTAAGGATGAGTACCTGCCTTGTTTACCTTCCTATCCTTTAGTGCCTTGTGTGGTGCCTGCCATCATGTTAAGAATTGGCACTTTGAGAGAGAGAAGGCAAGGTAGAAAGGAAGGGAGAGAGCAAGAAAGAGGAAGAAATAGAGAGGGAGAAAGACTATTCCAAATGTAAACCTGGAACCACAGAGAGAATGAGATATTCAAAAAATGTGCACAATTCTTCATTGCTCTCCTCTGCTTCTTTGCAATTTCAGTCTGAGCTGCAAATGCCAAAACACTGAGAAATAAAGTCTGTACTCCTGTCGTGTTGTTTGTGGTCTGGGTGTAAACAATTCTTGGAAATCCCCAGAGAATGCTTCCTAAGATTTATAGCCTAATTCCCCAGATGTAGGAGGTTTGGGGAATTGAACCAAGTACTCTTAATTCTTTGCTTCTTCAACAAACAGAATGAGCCTGTCTCTTTCCTCCTCCTCAGGGAGGGCAGTTGTAACCCTTCTCCTGCAAGAGGCCAGGGGATTGTAACCAATCCCCTGCAAGATTTGCTACAATCTTAGCAAAACACCTGGCCACTGATCCACGTTGATAACCAAACTGCCGCTGGTAAGAAAGGGCTTTTTTATTTTTAACTTAAAACATTCATTATTATGTAAAATTTCAAGCATCTACCAAAACAGAGGGAATGATAGAATGGATATACCCTTCCTGCGGAATCAGAATCCATCACCAGGGAAGATGACTTTCGGCCATCAGGGAGACGCCTCTGGATGTCACCTTGGATCTACTCCTTGAATCTGAATCTTCCTGCATCTACCCTTTCCTGAATGTTTCTTTCTCTGTACTGACTGAGACAGAAGGGCTTTGCTAGAAACTAACTCGCTGATCACTGGTGTTTTACCAGCACCTTTTGGAAAACCTCACCCAGTAGCTCTCAAGGCCATCCGACCTTTCTTGTCTCATCTTGTCCCTGCCTCTCTGCACTTCAAACTGCCTTGTCTCCATTCCTCACATGCTCAGTAAGACTGCATTTTTGGGCGCTTGGGTGGCTCAGTCAGCTAAGCGTCTGCATTCAGCTCGGGTCATGATCCCAGGGTCCTGGGATTGAACCCCGCTTCGGACTCCCTGCTTAGCGGGGAGGCTTCTTCTCTCCCTCTCCTCGCCACTCAGGCTGTCTCTCGCTATCTCTGTCTCTCTCTCTCAAATAAATAAATAAAATCTAAATAATAATAATAATAAAAGACTTCATTTTCTTCCTAGAAACAGGAAATGCTGGGCTCCCTCTTGAAAAGCCACTTCTCTCCAGTGAATCCCTATTCACCTTTCAGTTGCCAGTTTCAGCTTCATTCCTTAGGGAAGTCTTTCCTAGCCTCCAACCCAAATCCTATCACTTGTTGTCACCCAAATCCTTGTCATCTCATGTTTGTTCTTCACTCTGCACCCCGGTACACCTGCTGTCGTTATATATTCGTGTGGTTGATGATGGATATGTCTACCTGAAAGGGCTGGATCTGTGTCCTACGGCTGACCATTGTCCCTGACATCTGTCACTCTCTTGTGTAGCAGTTTCTGAAATTAGTTAATTTGTCATCTAAGTAGCCGCTCTCATATTGTGTATTTGCCCACTCTCTTGATTTCACCCTTCCTTTCACCCCATTTTTTTCATCTTGTCAATTTCAACATTTTTGTTGGAAATTCAAGGTATTTCCTCACCAGCAGTTTGGGAACGGATGATTTACAACACCACCCTTCCCAGCTTTGCAGGTGAGATGATCATTTAGCCATTCATACCACATACTGTCTTATCATCACTAACACGATAACTTTTTCTCCTAAACGCACAGTCCCTAATCAAACAAACGAGACACTGAATTTTAGATGATGATACAATATTGATTTCCTGTAGTCAAAAAACTTTATGGATTCCTTAGCGCATTTGAGGCTCATAATCATAGACAAATAAAAGAGGAGCAAGCATTTGTTGGGCCCTTGATTTGTGCACTGTGATTTGATTTGTGCACTGTGATGTGCTGGGTACCTACATCTTTTGTCACATCTGAAGTTCACGATAACACTTTGAGGCAAGCACTGTTTTGAACTCAGGGAAACAGAGACGCAAAGAGTAAATAACTTGCCGAGGAGGGCAGGCATCGAAATTCACAGATTCCAAACTCTGTCCACCATGGCAGGAGATGGGTATGACTATCTGCAACAGGGACGTGAGGCATGAACAAGTGCAGTGAGTTCTCAAATCTCTCATGGTCTAAGCTCACGGGATGACAGCATGGCGAAATGTACATGACCTTGGAACAGCCCGAGTCGGGCAGCCGACTCCCACAGGATTGCCACTACACCTGCTCCTTCAGGCTCACAGCAACCATATTTGTTCCCGGGCTCAAGGATCCCATTTTGAATTCTTTTTACAAAACAGATCAGAAGCATGAGCACCTAGGAGGAAAATCATGCTCTTCTTTCCTTCACATTTTCTGGACTAAAACAGCCCTCCTGGTTTCCCTGCATTTTCACCTGAGGAAAAACGTTCCCAATTTCAGTGGATTATATGATCTAAGAGTAGGAGTTCACAAAATGAAGATCCAGAACCAGAGTGGTTTTCTATTCCTTCAGCATGCTTAGAACTTGTCTTAGTTACAGATATAAAAGCAGTAAATCCTCTAGGCTGGACTCATATCGAATTCACCTGGCTGAAAGAATGTAATAATTGAAAAAAATGGAAAGCCCTCTGTGCTCTGATCTTCAGTGAGTGCGGGGAAGGTAAGTAAGTAATACAAGCTCCACGGGGTCTCGGATGTTCTAAGTCTTGCATTGAAACCATTTATCTCTGTTTTAAACCTTGTAATAGTTCTGATTAAAAATATTTAAATGCTTAATATGTTTAGTTTTGGTAGGGATATGCATACTTCTCGTAATCCATTCTGAGGATTTCAGCTTCTTTGCAAGGCAAATTGTAAGGCTGCTAAGGTGTTGATAAGGGAAACATTGAATTGAAATTAAAAAAAGTGTTTTAATATGAAAATAGTTGAAGAAAGTTGTTGAGAGAAGCAAAGTGTCTTAACGAATGTGGGAAGTTATTTCCTTCTGATTGGAAAAAAAAATCACAGATGATTTCACATAGCTCCATCCATTTGATAATTTTAAATTTTATTATTTTTAGATTTTTATTAAAATTTCCCAAGAAGACAAACATTTTGTGTGGGGGACTTTGAAAACATCTCATCTTTCTCTAGGAAAAAAAATTCTGTAAATAAGAGAAGGCAAGAAGTCACCATTCTCTGTACAATATTACAAATTGCATGGTTAAATTTATACTGAAAATAAAATGATGATAGAAATTGCTACTCAAAAGACATAAAATAAGTAACCTGAGTAAAATTCAATAGGATTGCATTTTTCTTTAAGTTTATTTTCTATCCCTTTAAAATTTTTTTAACCACCATGCTCTTTTTTTCTTTAAATTTTTCTCCCTTAGGGTAGGGGGTGAAATGGGGCAAAATGAAGAGAAATAGAGAGGGAAACAGGGGTAGAGATAGACAGAGGCTGTGTTCTTCTCCCACCCATCAAAGAGGGACCTGGTTGGACAACAGCAAGACTAAAATAATAATTAAAAAATCCCAGCACGTATCAATCATTGCTGTGTGGCTTTGTCACATTTATTATTTTATTTATTTCTCATAGCATCACTTCTTTGATGTAAGTGATTTTGCCCATTTTACAGATGGGGAAACTGAGGCCTAGGGGTGAAATAATCTTACCCCGGGGGGACGGCAAAGTTTTCTGGAGAAAGGCCAGATCGTCAATGTTTTGGGCTTTGTGGGCCACAAGGGTCTCTGTCACCAGCATTCAGCTTTGTCATTGTAGCAAGAAAAGAGCCATAGACAATCCTTAAACATATGAAAATCTAGGCAGTGGGTTGACTTTGGCCCACTGGCCTTTGTCTCCTGACCGTTCCACTAATGCAAGGGCACATTTTTTAACAAGTAGCAGAGTTAAGATTTATATCCACATTTTTCTGACTTCAAAGTCCTTTCCCTTAAACTCATTTGAAATATTTTGGGCCAATCATGAGACCCGGTAACTTTGGGAACGCTTTGTTAGGTGGTTACAGGGTGAGTTACCAACCAAATGAACAGACAGAACTATAGGAAACCTCTTGGTCTCAGTGTATTGAATGCACAGGATGAAGCTGGGGCATGAACAAGCCTTTGCACCTGGGGTGATCTGATGAGGAGCACGAATGCCACACCTCAAACACTTCTCTGTCTTTTCAAGGAAAGCAGGTAGCATTTGCAAATGAAAGGGCATGTGGCTCACCCTTTGGGCTGGTCTGGAAAGGCCAGCTCCTGAATGTGGCCTGGTCGGCCAGTCACACCAGCAGAAGCATCTGGAACAGAATCTTTTAGTTGTTTCTCCTTCCTTATGTTCCTAAGGTGCCTTTGAGGTCTGCCATGCGTGCGAAGTTTATGGCCCACATGCCACACATCACCTGCTAGCATCACCAGTATTGACAGTCACCGGCCTACTTAGGGGGATCGGGGATTCAGGGCATCCATGGGAGAGTGGCCGTCTGAATCCCCGGGGTTTATAAATCAAGTGTTAACTCTAATGGGGACTACTGCCTAGTCCCCCATATTTACAGTTATTCATGCTCAGAGGACTTGGAAGGGGCCCAGAAGACGGGAAATGGTGACAAAAAGTGCGAGGCACTGAGGACACCAACGCAGGCCCTAGAGAAACTGCAAATCAGTGTTGGGAGACAGACATAGAGTCACAAGCACGTGATTGCCACCTGGCGAGCAAAGTGTGGAGAAGAGAGGAGTGTGCCCAGAGGCTCTGTCCTGGAGGGGAAGCAGCCCAGGAAGGGGCAGGCACATGCCAAAGCTTACAGGTGTGGTGAGGGGGTTTGAGGGGAGCCGGCAGGAGGACGGTGGACAGAGTGTACCAGACCTAAGGACTTGTACCCGGACCGCATCCTGGAGGCAAAGGCACCTACGTGGAAGGGTATGTACCGTCCCTGAAGTGCAAGGTGAACTAGAGTGGGGGACAAGCTCCAGGCAGGGGTGGGAGGCTTTGCTAGACATCTGAGGGAGACAGCAGTGAGGATGCGGGAGACTATACCTGCCAGCCATGGGACTCGGGACAAGTCACTTGATTTTACTTATTCTTCATAGGCTTGAGCAGGGATCAATGAAATAGTGTCCATCAAAGCATTTTGTGAGCAGAAAATGTGCTATATAAATAAAATTAGCCATTCCAAATGCTAGCTTTTCTCCTAATTTTGCTCCCTTCTACCCATCCCCCCCGCCTTGTGCCCAGGAGCTCTTCTGTACCTGGATTCAGAGGAAGTTTTTACCAGAGGAGGTTGGCTTTAACAGAATAACAGAACAGAGGAAGAACAGGATAAGAGGTCCAATCTACAGGTAAGGAAACATTTTTTTTCTCTTTACAGGTATTAATAATTTTTTGATAGGATACAATTTCTAAAAATCACTTTAAAATAGGAAGAAAAAAATAATTGGTATTATTTGCCTTGGTGAAATATGTACTTCATTTTATTTGGATTAAAGGGCGATAAAGCAGAGGCCACTCGGTTGGAAGGAAGGAGGGGATGCAGAAGAAACGGTTTCAGGGTTTACAGAAAAGGAGGAGGCCGGGACAGGTTTTGCGGGCACAGTCTTGGGAAAGCCAGGTCACGGGAACAGTGTTGGTGCACAGGGTTTGCCTGAATTGTATACACAAAAAGAGGGTTCTTAAAGAAGGGTATGGCCCCACCTAGAGCACAGGCCCCTCAGAACCCTAGGACCTCTGGGCACCAGGTGGGTCCCTCCTAAGGCTGGAGGGGAGGCAGTGGAGACAGGGCGGAGGGCAGGGAAGGGAGCCGCCAGGTCGAGTAAGACAGTGAGGGAGAGGAGATGGTTGCCCCCAAAGCATGTTGAGGTCCTTGGGAAGTGCAACACACACTTCATTTACCTGCTTTCGATCACTTATTTTTCCTGGCTTCATGCCTCAATTTCGGCAGAAATGGATGTACTTTAAAAACACCTTGCTTTTTTTTTTAAATTTAATTTAAATTTTTTTTTTTTTTTTTACTGGATGTAGCTTTCTCTAAGGCTCTCCAACTTCTGATTGTTTCCCTGGCCTGCAGGGTTGGAGGAGAGCAGGAAGAGGCCATTTGGGAGGTGGTGGTGGTGGTGGTGGGGAGGGGGGTTGAAGGGTGGGGGCTGGGACGCCCTAGCTTCTGCCCTATTTTCCAGTGTCTTGCCCTTTGGGTTGCCACATTTTTACTCTGTCAATAAAAAGGACGTGGCTTGCTGCTGGGACCATTTAATAATGCAGCAATAAATTGTGCTTTCAAGCCCCGAAATGCTTTTCTAGGTGATTTACAAAAAATGACTCAATACCCCAAGGACACGGATTTGTAGCATTATCTGTTCTTACGGTTGGACTGGTTCAGAGGAAGCTCACCCTGAGAGGATCCCCAAAGGTTCACAAATGGCACAAAGCCAGGGATCCTGGTTCTGCCTCCCCAACCTCCCTCCCCCAATCCCTCCTCCTGCACTGGGACCTGAGTCCTTTCTCATCTCCTCTTGGGGGAAGGAGGTGTCAATTGGCACACTCCTCTGTGAGACACTCATGCTTTGGGGACAGGAAAGATGACGGCGAAGAAGGGCTCTGAGAGCATCTAATAAGATGAGGAAGATTGCCCTGGAGAAGGGAGTAGCTGGCTCTTCTATTTCTGGGAGCCCCAGCAGGTTCTGGGGACACTCCCCTGCATCCCCACCTCTCCCTCCCCATCAGGCATGGCCTCCCAGCTGGCCAGGTCTCCAGTTCCCTGCTCCAGTGGCTTTTTCACTTTGTGGGTAAAGTGAACTGGCTACAGTGCACATCTGATCGTCTTTCCTGCTGAAAATCCTTCAAGGCTTCCTATTGCCTCACAGGATAAATTGAGGAGGCGAACTCTTCCAGAACCGGACCTTTTCAGCCCCCTCTGGATCTCCCTCATTTCCTGTCTCACCCACCCAGACCCTTCCTTCCTCTCTCTTGTCTGGGTCTCTGTGTCCCCTCCTCCAGGCCGCCTGAAGGATTCCTGCACCAGAAGCCCCAGTTCCTGGGTTCCTGGCTGGGAAGCCTGCCTGGTGGCTCCCCATCACCTGAGCATTACCTTCCTGCTACATCTGTCATGGCCAGGGGACCTGCCAGCACCCCAAAGCCCTCATCACCCTCCTCACCTGTAAGACACAGAGGGTGGTGCCATTCTGCCTGTGGCTTGTGGGTGCTTCTGTAAATATGTTCAACTCTTAACTCCCAGGACTGTGGCTAGCAGTGCTTGAAAGTGTTTTGTAACCTGTAAAGATTACTGAGGAACATTGTGAACATTTTAATACATTTGTGGGTAGGAGAGAGGCATCACTTCCCAAAAGGATAGTCTGTCAGACCTTTCAAGGATCCTTCTCATCTAAGGGTCTTAGATGACAAAATGCTTGGTACTTTGCGAGTCCTCAAAAAGGTGTGAGTGATAATCGGCTTCCAGCTCCTCTGTGCAAGGGTGCTGAGACCAATGGAAACACCTTTTCTGGTATAATCTTACTTTAGAAATAAGTAAGCCCCTCAATGGCTCAAACAAACTAGTTTTATATGTACCTTATGTGGTGATGGCGAGGTTCCTTACAATACCTCCTCCTGAGAATAGAGGGAGTTGCCTCTTAGCTGATCTGTCAGAGTCTGAGGTGCTCCCTCAGTTCCTGCATATTTGAACCTCAAAATTATGTTTAGGAAGACACATTTACTTGAAATTACCTACGTCACTGCTGGATTATGGAGACTGACTCACAGAATCAGTAAAAAGAAAAAAAAAAGAAAAAAAAGAAGAAAAGGGAGGTAAAGAAATTTACCTCAATTTAAGAATTATTCCTGGAAGTATGAGTTCACCATTCAGTTTTGGCTCTGACCAGTTTAGGACACACTACTCCAAAATATGACACCTGGACATATTGTTTATTTCAAGATGAAAGACTTCGAGAAACAGCAGATACAGAAGGGATGTTCTGACCTTCCCCTGAAGCTGGTCATTGGATCCTCACGTGAGAGTGTCCTCCCTCTACCTGGAGGAATGGAGCCTCCTTATCTCTGAAGATGGGTGGACTCGAGAGGAACCTGAAGGAACAGGCCTTGCTAGATTTCCCTCAGTTTACTACAGACCACTAGCTCCTCCCTCCTGGCTCCCTGTCCCATTTCCCCATGACTTTCCCATCGCCATTAAACCTAGAATACAAATGCGCAAGTTTATTGTTTTTTTGGGTCTCCATTTCTTCAGGGAGATTCGTGTACCACCTAAAATTTTTATTAAATAGATATGCATACTTTCCCCTTGTTAATCTATGGTTACAGGGGCTCCAGCCAAAAATTCAGAAGGGTAGAAAGAAAAGATGTTTTCCCTCTCTTACAGCTCCTACAAATCAGCTTTTTAAAGCAACGTAGTAACTGGTTCCGAAGATCGCTAGTAGCAGGAGAGAACCTGTGTCACGTGACCCGGTGTCTCCTGAAAGCCTCCTAGTCGTGTCCCCGCAATCTGCAGGGTCTTTACCAACGCGGGAAGAGGGGAGAGGCAGTGCTTCTGAAGTTGTCCTAGATGGTGAACAAATGGTGACAAAGGAAAAGGTAACATTTCTCAGTCTGTATATGGTTTGTTAGGTACGTGTGACTAAATGGAGTTAAATGGTATGAACAGACATTGGGCTATTTCATCTCCACCCCCCAAAGCTTGTATATTGAAGGTGACTTTCAAACTATTTTCTATCACCTCCTTTCATTGAAAGAAATGGAAGGTTGCTTTTATGCAGAATCACTTCAAAATCAGGTCGATATACCAATCCCCAGTTCAAACCAGTCAGTAGCCTGAACATGGAAGCCCTTTTAGAGACCCAGGTAAATCAGTAATGATCACCCTCTAGCCAGTAGCTGTCACGTGCTTCTTTTTAAATTCCTTCATGCTCACTTGTTCAATTCCATAGACATTTACTGGGCTAGGAAGGTGCCCAGCTAGTGCCTGGAACACTCATCTCCATCTCTCTTGAACTTTTTTTTTTTGACCTGCATCATGTTTCCCTGACCGCTCTGTGATGTCTGACCCATCCTCTTTGGGAAGTTATCCTGCCCCCTCTCCACTGGTGGCCGGAAGCTCCTCTTCTTGTTGCCTTACTTACCACCTTATGTACACCTTGATTTTAATTTTCAATTATTAGGCTTTCTCTTTTTGTGGAATCCATGAAAGTAGGGACCGAGTTCTATTCATTGCTATACCCCCAGAGACTCAGAAGATGCCTAGTGTACTTGATAATTACTTGATAAATTGCACCGAATTCAACTGAACTGAATTTGGAGATGTTCTAAATTGAGGGATTGCTTGGATGCTGTTCTTGACTATAATAAAGAAATACAAATGACCTGGATCTGGGATGATTTATTAGTGTCCTGGGGCTGAGGTAGCCCACAGGGA